CCAGCCTTCCCCTCCAGCCACGTGCCCGTTTCAGTGTCTCTCTTCCCGACACAGCTGGCAGCTTTCAGAGAGCTCGTGAGAGGAGCTCCTCAGAGAGGAACGTGAACGTCTCTGAGACTTGTACCTCTCATGTCTGGTGAACATCAAGAAACAGATTGAAAAGTGGGGAGAGGGGGGAGGAAGAGGGACCTGAGAGGCGGTGAAATAATGTATTATTTCAGCTAAAAACGATGTGGGAGACACATACATAGAACTGCCTGCTAAGCTCTGCTGGTTGCACTGCTGTTAACCAAGTATTAGTGATTATTGCGTCCAGATGCTTTTTTTTCCTAGCAGGACCTTATAACCTTAATAAGCAGAACCAAATAACCTTCCGTTATTTGTACAGGGGCAAGTGTAAGTGTGTGTTCAGTTTACCATAAATTAAATTTGAGGGTTTGAATTCACACGCTCGGTGTGTTATATGCAGCAACATGCAGAAACCAAAGGGTAAGATGCTGGAATGATAAGAGAATGAAGCAGGTCCACACTTCATCCCTTTTGGGAAAAGGGAAAGCCAGGTTGTGGGCAGCGTTTTCTCAAGGGTGACTGCCCTTTCTCACGCACAGAACAGACCTGAGCTGGTGGGTGGGTTGATATCTGGGGGCTGCTTGGACACACGAATGTCATCGAGGGGATGACACTGGAATAAAAAGGGGTGCTTTACAGTAAGAAACCAAAACAAAAAAATCAGCTCATTAAAGGAAAGGGTGGGGGAGCTCTAACCCTAGTTCCCTGCTAAGCCATGGAGAGGGAGATAGAAAAGAACATCTCCCAGTCTGTTACACGGGCTGTGTTGGAGGGGGGGTTGGGTAAAAAATAAATTGGGTGCCTGTATGAACTCCTCTTCCCTTCTCTCCACACCCATGCCTGCGTTGAGACCCTATAAAATGCCTTTGTCTGATGGACGTACAGATGGCACTCGTGCCCAAGGGCCCTAATATAGAATTCAGGAGGGGTTTTCAAAGTAAATACGGGTACATGGGCTTGGGGGTATTTGGGCAGGGGCAGTTTCTTTTGGGGGTTGTGCGTGTCTTAAAAAGTAAAGAATAGTTGGTTTATTGCCCTCCTATGAGGTCTGTGCTGACGCAGACAGAAGATTTTTGCTGAAGAGGCAGTGGAATCAGTGACAAAGCACCGTTCATAAAGATGCAGGAGAGAGGAGCTTAGATTGCATAATCAAAGAGAAAAATGAGAAACTTTGTCCCGAAGGCAAATGCACCTACTTCTCATTCACTCTCCTCCCTTTTCCACTACCTTTTTTCCCATGAAATACATGCAAATCCCAACACGCACTAAGTTTTCCTCCAGGCATGATATACTTGTGTGGTTATTTAAGTAAGAAGAGGGTTGAATAGAGATATGAGGTCTTCCTGGCAGAAAGGTCTTGGAAGAGTGCTCTATTTACTGCTCGTGTTTTAAAGTAATCCAGTCACCCCTCAGAGCATTTCTAGATACTAAAGGGATAGCTGTCATTCTAATTATACAGCATACACATTTCCTTCTTAATTTACTTTGTCTTCTCACAGCACAGCCAGTATTTCTGAGTCTACCTACTTTAAAAAATGTCTAGAAATTAAGTGTAAGCATTTTATCAAAATGAAGAGTGGTTTAAGAAGTAATTCAAGTAGAGCAAGAACTTGCTGTCATCAACTAATGCTTGCGAGAAATCACAAATTCTGGTTGCACAGGACACTTACCAGAGTCTGGAAGCAGTAACTGAATGTGTGTGGTCTCCTACGCTTGGCTACAAAGACTTCCAGTCCTCAATGGCATGCATTGCCAGCTAATGCACTCTTACCTTTAAAGACGTGTTTGGTGTGAAGAATATTGAGAATGGTGGGGTTTATTCTGAACTAACAGCACTATAAATGGAAGAATTAGAGGGCAGGTGGCGGAGAGTGGGATTGTTCAGCGGTAGCTACAAGAGCAGCCATAGGAAGATGTGTTTTAATCACCCTAAATGCTTTTGCAGCCCGTTGTCTGCTTCCCTTCTCCTTTGGACATTTGCCTCCCACCAGCAGCTCCTCCATCCCGGTTTGTGAGCTGGCAGTTCCACCTCCAGCACCAGAAATAGGGGGGCCTCCACCCCAGCCCCAGCCTGACAGCTCTCCCAGGGGTCCTGCAAGACGTGCCACCGGTCACCGTTGAGATCTGCTGAAACCGGGGGACTCTGTGAGCCCTCCTTGGCCTGCTCCTCGAAGGAAGCAAAACGGATGGAGTCCCTGCCAAGGTGTGTCCCCACCACCCTTCACAGCCACCGGCGGCGGGCAAGGCGTGCGGCCCTGCCCGGCCCCACAGCAGGCACCCCTCAGCTCTGGGGAACACCTCAACGCGGGGGAGCTTGAAAACGAGGAAATAAACTCCTGGGGGACAGATGGGAGGCACAGGCCCACACTGAGCCTGCCCTCAGGTAAAACCACGGGCACTACCGCCCGCGGGGCAACCCACGGCTCCACCCGCCGAAGGGGAGCGCGGTGCCAAGGCGGCTGAGAGGCGCCGGAGGCCCGGCCCGGCTCGGCCAACAGCTCCGCCTTCGCTTCGAGGAGGAGAAAGACAGCTCCAACCCCAGCCGCCCCCTTCTTCCCTCCTGGCTGTGAGGGGAGAGCGGGTCGGGCTCCCCCCAACCCCGCCCCGGGGCGCGGCCTCTGCGCATGCGCACCCCCGCGGCTGGCGCAGGTGCGCGGCCGGACTCGATCGCCCTCCGCTCCCCGGGGGCGGTTAGAGCCCTTGATCAGGCCTGTGGGGGCAACCGCCTGCTCTCTTGGCCCAAACACGGCCCTGGGCAGCTAAGGGTGGCTGAGGTGGGGTGTGGAGATGGCGGGGGGTGTGGAGTTGGCTGAGGTGGGGTGTGGAGTTGGCTGAGGGTCTGTAGGCGGCTGAGGTGGGGTGTAAAGATGGCGGGGTGGGCACGTTGGGCAGCTGAGGTGGGGTGTAGAGATGGCGGGGGGTCTGTAGGTGGGTGAGGTGGGGTGTGGAGATGATGGGTGTCTGTAGGTGGCTGAGGTGGGGTGTGGAGATGGCTGAGGGTTTAGATGGCTGAGGTGGGGTGTGGAGATGGGGGGGGGTCTGTAGGTGGCTGAGGTGGGCTGTGGAGATGGCGGGTGTCTGACAGGAGAACTTCAAGGTCACTCCCAGAGTTTTCCCTCTGGTCCTTTTTTCCCCTCTGGTCTCACCTGCTTGTTCGGTATATATTGTGGATACCGGTCATTGGTCAATTAGAGTAATTATAGCTTGAAGTATTTTAAGGATGGCGGGGGTTCTGTAGGTGGCTGAGGTGGGGTGTGGAGATGGCGGGGGGTCTGTAGGTGGCTGAGGTGGGCTGTGGAGATGGCGGGTGTCTGACAGGAGAACTTCAAGGTCACTCCCAGAGTTTTCCCTCTGGTCCTTTTTTCCCCTCTGGTCTCACCTGCTTGTTCGGTATATATTGTGGATACCGGTCATTGGTCAATTAGAGTAATTATAGCTTGAAGTATTTTGTTCCAGTGGTATTAATACTGCGTCTGGAATAACTTTAATAAAGTACTTGACAATGGGTTATTTAATGTATAGCATAAATGGTAGTCTTCTTACCTTTCAGTCTGTCTTTAGGGATGCCAGCATTTCCTGCTTCAGGTCAGCAAGATGGGGCATGGGTGAAATAAAAGGGTTGGTTGTAGCAGTTTACATTAAACTGTTACAATGTAAGAAGAGTCCCACTTGCAATATGAGATGATCAGTTCTCTCAGAAGCTTTCTGGTAATTAACTTCCTGGTAGAGGAGTGCTTCCAAATTGGTCTTTTTAGTAGCTGGAAATACAAAGATACTGCCAGTTACGTTGACGGTGTCTGCTTAACACCCTTAAGTTGGTGTACTGATTCCTGCATACTTTTCCACTTGCACACTGTTGGTTTTTTTTTAATCCCTTATTATGTCAGTGCCTGACTTTTAATCAATAGAATCAGCAAGAGCATCAGGGAAGACACAGTCAGACTTTTATAGTGGTGCTTTAGGCTATTGGACAGAGTTCGTCTTCTAGATCTGTGCGTGTTGATGAGAAAATGAAGAACCTACCAGCTGCTTGTTACCATCCTCCTTCCAAAGTCTGCTGCTGACTGAGATCCATCAGCTGATCTGCTTGGAGGCTATTTAAACTCTTAAAAATGAATCCAGGTTGCTGGGAATAATGCAATTTAGGGAGTGGTCCTCTGAGCAGCTGAGCTGGCAGATCTTTGAAGCTAGTAACAGAGGGAAGAGTAGGGGAGTGGAAAACCACTGAGAACAGGCAAGTATTTTTTAATGAAGTTTGCTATTGTTACGTTTGTTCAGAGTCATGAAAAAACAGTAGAACTATTTCTCCTTGGTTAACATTCATGTTGTTTTCTTTATACTGATATGAATGTGCATCCAGTTGAGCAGAAAACTGATTTATCTGTCTTTCTATCATTCCCTCCAAGAATTAGCTTGCAGTTTTCTCACCAGTTTAGTGGCTGGCTGTGCCAAGTCCAGAGCTGGATCTTGAGAAGAGCAAGAAGGGGCAGCCTTGTTCAGCAGGAGCCCATGCTGATGTCAGGCTAAAGTGACTGTGGAATTGCACTCTTGCTAATGGTTACTTTGGTTTTCAATGTGGAAAGAGGTTTTACAGTACTGCCATGGAGTTGAGTTACAATAAAGGCATCCTCAGCAGATGTTTGGGATGGTGATCATAGGACTCTTACTGTACAGTTGTAATGAAAATGTTACAACTTGTGGCTTCTGGCAAGGTGTATATTTTTGCAAAATATGGCCTTAGAGTCTTAAAATAACATGTCCAGTAATTGAAAAAAAAAAAAGAAAACAAAAGAAAAAAACAACCAAACAAAAATGTTCATGTCATCTAGGAGCCTGTAATCTTAACTATTATTTTTACAAGAAAAATTTACAGAAATGTAATATATAGCTAAACTTCTTTGTACTTCTAAAAGTTATAGGCAATGGCCCCTGGAAGCAAATTTAAGAATGCTGAATTGATATTACCATGTGAATGGAAAGAATGCTGCTTTGTAGGGAAATGCATAGAGGAATTTTGTAGTCATATTGCGGAACACTTGGAAGAGTACCTACAGCACCCCCTGGAAACAGAAGGTCATTGATGTCTCATCTGTCACACAGATTACACTGCAGGTTGGAAGATTATTCCTAGCCTAGAAAATAATACTGACTTCAGTTTACTTGCAGCTTAGCTTTTCTAAGGCCCAGTTGCATGAAGCCCTTAGACAAGGGCTTATACCTGCTTTTTGCTTCATATCTGATTGTCCTGGATTTTTGCCTGTATTAATAGCTATTACTAATATGGAAAGAGACTGGAGAGGTGATGTCATGAGAACTTCTGCTGAGGATTTGCTTTTTTCTAACATTAAGGTCTCAGCAGGTGCAATTGTATAAAGCAGATTTTAGCAACTTGGTTTTGAATGGCAGAGCTTTTCCCTTTCAGGAAACTGTTAGAATGCATTTCCATGGGTTCTAGGGAACAGAATTCTAATTTTGAAGTACCACTTGTATGAACCTTTATAGAAAAATGGAAACTTATTGTTTGTATGGTATTTTCCTTATTTGGATACATACACTGGTGTTATTCTATGATGGGTATTGTACTTTACATCTTTTTAATAGTATTAAATGTACTTAGAAGGAAAACAAAAAAATCCGATTCTGCAGAAAATTATAGGCAGTCTCTGTGGATGTAATAGCAATAATATACTAGACTTTTTAATATAGCTATTTTGGCTGTTGTATATCCTGCTCTTTATTCTTAACACTATAATCAAGTGTAATTACAGGTGTAGACATTTTAATTAAAGGTGAATGAGTTTTAATTAAAGGTGAAAAAAGTAGAATTGGACCAACATTAACAATGTCTCTGTGACCTAAGCTGAAGAGTGTCATAGTATATGCCTAAGAAAATACTTATTTTTACAAAATTTTCATACTGAATCTATGAAGTCCCTTCTAACAAAAGTTGTGTTTTAAGGTACAAAGTACTTTAGTATTGCTGCAGTTCTGAGACAGTGGAAAATCTGTTTTCCCACTGAGATTTGCAGGCTTTATCTAGTGCGTTATCAGTAGATGGCAATTACCAGCCTCTCTGCTAAGGTTACTTACAGATTGTGGAGTTATTACAAATGTCAGTACTATTGGCATTCTCACTGTTGTGGCACACGGTTGCAGATTTCATGGAGCGTTCTGTAAAATGTTACTTCTCTGTGTTTAGAGTGGTACTGGTGTTGCTGGAAAAGTTGTGAATCTGGGGCAAAAGATCCCAGAGAGCTGATAACATGTCAATTTTCACAGTTACCACACCAAACTGAAATTCGTAGGCTCTCAGCTACAGGCATTGCACCACGATTTGCCAGCATGTTTGCAGAACAGCCATAGCTGGCATCAGTTACCAAAGACTTCAAAGGAGTTTGTTTGCCATTGGGAGAACTGTGATGTAAGTAAAATACATTGTGATATTGCTATTTTTTTTTCCTTTCCTAACTATACCTTAGCATCCTCTGGATCTGACTCACTATTGGAAATTTTTGCTCAATCTTGTTTCCCCTTATCTTTGTAAGTAACACATGATAATTATTACGGTAGAACTCATGAAAATGTAATCAACATATTTGCATAACATCTGTGACCTCGAATTCAAATTTTCTTTGTGGTGACTAAAATCATTTTTTGACAAAGATGCAACATCTCTTGCATTTTAGGAGCATATATGCAAAACTTTAATATATCAGTTTAATGATAGCTTAATGAACTTGGTAGTTTGTAGAAAGGTCCAGAGTGTTTATTTTTTGTCTGAATAAAGGCAACAGAATATCTGATGTTTCCTTGGAAATGTTTGGGTTTTTAATGGGACAGAAATCAGACATTTTCAAGACTGTTCATATAAGTGTGATGTTCAAATGTGGCCAAGATTTTCAACAAAGTGATTTGGTTTGATTTCAACAAAAATGGTTTGTATCTTGACCACTTTTTGGTGCCCTGTATTAAAAAAAAAAAAAATTATAAAAATTATCCATTCTGTTTTGACTCGGCTATTTCTGTATCAAGTAAACCAAAATGATTAGCAGTTGCTATCTATTTTTTGACAATGTTAACATAAATAGTCCTGCCTATATAATTTTTTTTCTGCTTCATTCCTGATGAAAAGTGGCTTCGTATTGATATGACATTGTAGGGAAGCGCTTTCTCTGTCACTGTTGGCCTCAGAATCTCAGCTGTTATTTATGGCTCATGAGCGTTACCTTTGCATCCACAAGTGTGATGCCTTGCAGATTACATTTTCTTACCATCTCCTTTTGTGTAACTTTTGAGCAAGTTAGACAACTTTACTGCATTACGTCTTTCTCTAAAAACTATCTGGTCTACATTGATGCATCACATGTTGAATTACAATCAGTGTGATGCTGGAGTAAATATACTACAGTAATGGAATGAAATTCCTTTTGCCTACTGATGGGGGTTACAGTCTATACTTTGCTGTGTTAACCTTCTCCTCACTAGGTCTAAAGTTATTTCCAGTTTCCTGTTAACATTTCAGCTCACAGGTTGCTTGTGCCATAGCCTACATAAAAGGTAAGAGCCTCCTCATCTGTGTGCTATTACTGGTCATAATGTCTAAAAAATATTAATTTGGTTCTTTAGGCTTTCAATTTAGAATATCTGTACTCACGCAATGCTTTGATACCTCTCTTTTCATTAATTTTTCTTTACATGAAATAAGGAATGACAAAAATCTGAGAGTGAACTTCATAGGGAATGGTAATTCTATTGCTAAGTCAACCTGAGAAGCTCTATCTCTGTAAATAAAGACTTATTTACTAGTGGATTACACATGGAAGTACTCCATTCCCTTCTTTTTAAAGCTATAAAGCTAAACATAATACAGAGCATTATTTATGATAACTTTTGGATTTTTTGCATAGTTTGATTACAAACAAATCTTATTGCCATTGTGTCTCACTGCTTATAGGAATCCTATTTCGTACAGCAGCTCTTTCTGTTGTTAGCACTTTTTTATACTTACCAATCAGTTTTTACTCTCATAGTGCCATGATTAATCTGTTCATTTTAAAAATGAAGAGGTTCAGAAACACATCAAAGCCCTCAGAATTTGATCTTTCTTGCATCTGTTAGAAGGCACAGTCTTTTGAAAAACATGCTTAAAAAACAGAAGAAATATCTTCCCGTTAATTGATTTCATGTTCCATTTTTCATTTATGTAAGTGGGCAGTTTTGGCTGATGGAATCCTTTAGTCCATAGCATTTTGCTAAATCTTTTTATACATGTTTTTTCAAGTTCAAACTATGTTGTGAATTTTATTAATTAAAAGAATGTTTCCCAACTTAGTAGGCAGGCTAGACTAGACCCAGAAGGTGGGGTAGGGCACACTGCGAAAGAGGAGAACTTTGAGGGCAGGGAAAACTGCTTACCTTTCCCACCCTCCTGCAAATAAGTTCCCACAGTTATGAGTATAATTCTCTTTGAAAATCACCCATTCAGCTTCCCCTGACACTTACGATGCCTCCTACTGTGTCAGTTTCCCCAAAGGTGAAGCTTCTGACTCGGGCAACAGCCCCAAAAACTTCTATTTAAAGAAATATTCAAGAAAGTTCAGGCAAAACGCTTAAATGGATGGTGCCAACAAATTAAAATGGGTTTAACCCCCCACATGGTTACTCCGATTAAGAAGTGGTTTTTGGTTGCTGTCTAGCTCAATGCTTTTCGTTGATTCACCTTAATATGTCTATACATTTTCATATACACAAGGCCTTGGATTTCTCACATCATGTTTCAAGCCCTTCAGAGGAAATAAGGGCTTGTTTCCCTGAGGGAGCTATTGAGAAATACATTGGAGTATGAATTTAAAATGCAGCAGTTTGTCTGCATTAACTCCTCATGTGAATGCTCTGTTCTGCACACAGAATGCCTAGCAGCTTAGTTTAATCCATTCTACTAAGATTAGTATGATTAAAACCAGATAATACTAAATAAATACTTTTTTCATTTATACATTTTTCTTTAAAAAAAACCAAACAAAGCAAAGCAAAAAACAGCCAACAAACACTGTTTAAATTTGAATCAACTGTACATTATTGGCAGTGGCAATACCGACCTAAGGAGTTTCACCTGTTTCCTGTTTCCTCTCCCCAGTGCTTTGATTTGCTTGAAAGCCAGATCAATTCCTTGTCCCAATGCAATATGTAGTCTTACAAAATTGTGCCAACACAGCAGAGAGGTTAGAGTGTTAAATTATTGGGAACTGGGAGGAATGCTTTGAATTGGGACTGTTGGCAGTATGCAGGTGAATGACATCCTCTGTTACTTGCAGAAAATGCAATGTGCAGTCTACTTTCACTCTGCAGTTGTGGATTTTTGTGGAGTGAGGCACAAGCTAATTAAAGTTTAGTCCCCCTTGTCACCTAAGTACTGACTCATGGAGCACTGTATCCATAACACCTAATTCAGTTTAATCATTGTGCAGCCTTCCCATTTCTGTTGGAATTACCTGCGCTGCCCTCATAGCCTTCTTGTGAGCAGGAGCAGGTAGAAGTGAAGGGAGGGGAGAAAGCAAAAATATACTAAAGAAATAAATCAACAGAAATACGTTAACAAACACTTCCCTGCCCAAAAGAATGGGGAGCATTCACTCAACTAGTCTAGACAGACTTTTCAACTACTAGATGGTAGGTGAAAATTAAGGACCTGGTTTGTGTGGTGGATACTGCAGAATGTTCTACATTTTTGTAGTTGATGTAATTGTCTCTGTATTGGGGTGAGTTAATTAAATGTTACGGCAATATTTACTGGTGACTGTTTGATTTCTAAAAACACTTAATTCTATGTTCCTGTCAGTTGATTTCCTGCCAAAACTATCTTGTCTTCTCCATGCTTCTATGTTGTTGTTAGGTTACCTTCAATAAGCCAATGTGGTTTTATCAACATATTGCTATTCATGCCTGTGCTGCTGAGGAAGAAATTGTTACAGCTCAGAAGAAAGCTATTTATTGTCACTGGCAAGGTAGTTAATATTAAAAAAAAATCTATTTCAAAAAGTATTTTACTGCAGTGTTTTTTTGTAAAATTCACTTGGTGCTACATATTGCATAGAAACTTGTGAGAGATCTTCAATTATTTTTTCATCTATCTTAAATAGTTTTAGAAGCATTTCCATTTTATAGGCACCATGATTTATGTAGAATAGTTCTTATCATCCGTAGGGTTGAACACCCTCAACTACCAATGAGCCTAACTTGAGAATTGCCAGTACTGAACAGCGTTGGATTTCCTCATAATTCTTTCTGTGGTTAATAGTTCCTATACCATTCAAACAGACTTTTCACCCAGGATCAGGGTTGTCTCCCTCACAATAATCTTGCATGGTGAGTTACTCTTTGCTTCCCTCATCTGTTTCCTTCAAATCAAGGGAAGCGTACCTATTGCTGTCCTAGTTTTTCTCAACTCTGTGGTGAGAAAGAGCCTTTTTAATGCATTCTCTATATTGCTAGCTACCTCTTATGTTAAAATTATTGTCATGGCTTCAAAGCTGATGTTCTGCCCTTGGCTCTATTGTAGAAGTCACATTCCATTGAGAGTCTTTCATAGCAGATGCCTTGGTTGTTTGAGTAAGGGCTAAAGTATGGACTGCCATTTGATGTGCATGCCATTCAGCTTCAGATCTACAAAGTGTATGAGCAGAACCTCTCCAGAAGAAATGACTTTCTGCTGAGGAATGAGACAACTTGCAGGGCTCTGGTCCTGGAACAGATCGTTCTGTGCTTGCTTTAAACGAATGACTACGTCTTGTAAAATATGTCAACAAATTCCAGATTTGATTGGAATCCTCTTGGTGAACCCCCCAGATATGTGTCTTTTCAATTGATGTGTTAAAGTTACTTTTTGGGTTAGCTATTCACTGCAAGATGACAAAATCCCATCAGTGGATGCAAGGCAAATTCATTTTGTTCCCTTTCCCTCATTAGATTAGCTGACAGATGTGCTATTTTTTGGCTGGGGAAGTCACTGCAGTGACCTAATAGTCTAGAATCTATAGTCCTTAGAGGAACAAAAATCACATATCATTGTTTTCTTAGCTAGCCCAATAGGACAGGTGAAGGGACCCTGACTGTATAGCATAAATAACAGAATGGGGGAAAGGGAAATGTGGAAGAAAAAGAATATGGTATATCTTCAAATATGTTTAAGAAAGGCCCTGCTGTTAGGAACAGTGAAATCATCTGTGCCAGAAAGGATGAAAAGTAATGAGCGTCAGTTGTAACAAGAGAGGTGGAAGTTCTAAGTTAGGAAAGCCATTTTAATAGGGCATTTTAAAATACTGTAGCAGTTGCCTGTTGAAATTGTGGGAGTTGTCTGTCACTGGGGAACTGAGAAGACCTCTTTTGAGACCAAGCTATAATTGATCCTGCCTTGGAATAAAAGAATAGGTCCTGGCTTTTACAGGATCTGTTGCAGTCTCCAATCTTGGCATTCAGGATGGTGCTGTGCACTTGAAAGTGATGTGCAGAATTATAATGTCCAGGCATTGAAAGACAACTTTTAATTTGCACCCCCAAACTTAACAAGCAAGCACAGGCAAATAAGATCTCATCTCTGTAGGAAGCAGTTGTCATGGAACTGGGACAACAGATACAACGTTATCGGTCTTTTCCAGGCACCTTCAGTACTAACTAGTGGTCTGAGTTGGTTTGAATTTGTGAGGGTACAGCAGGAGTGGGGCACTCTGCAAGGGAAGGCAAACTAGGAGTTAAGGGTGACAGACAGGGACCTAGAAGAATAATCAGTCCTCCAGCTTCTGATCTAGACATGGGAGATTGTTCTTTTTCTGTGGCCCCTCCTGATCAGAAGTATCCTGTACACACTACAGGTGAAAGAGACACTGATCTTGTTTCATCATTGTAGGCAAGGTGAGGCTTTAGGATTTCTTTTGTCTTTTAATAAGGAGTCTAGAGTTCTGTCCCATTACAAAGTATGTTAATCTGAAGCTCAGAACTAATTTCCAAGAAATTGCCTATATTCTACCCATTGGAGCAGATGTGGGTTGCTATCAAAGCTATTACATTCTTGTTCTACTTGAGAGGGTGTCCCAATGGGTAGTAGAACCCATGATGCACCTACTTGGTTAAAAGAATTAGGCAAATCCTTTTTATTAAATTAATTTTATGTATTAATTTCTGAGACCTAAAGGTATCTGACCTGTCATTGAGTTTGATTCACTTGATTACTCTTGCTACACATCATCCACAAGAGAATTTTTTCTCTCTCCCTACCTCTAGCTCTTGAATTTGAATCCAGTCCTCTTGATTCTTTAAAGTCTTTGATTGGGTCCAGGCTATTATTTCACCTTTCTAAAAAGGTAGCTTTCTGCATAGCTGTTAGGTAGAAGAGAAAGACTTGTGGCTGCTTCTCTTATGTGAGAGGGTAGGCTATTCCTTCACATCTGTCTAAGGTTTTCTCCTGAAAGTAGTTCTTTAACTCCACTTACAGCAGTACATTAACCCACTAGGGATTTTACCCTTGTTTGTCACGTGTCAATAGCCAGAGCTTTCCACTTGTCCAGTTAAAATTTGTTCTGTGTCCACAGTACCAGACTGCTCCTGAACTCAAGAGATCCGAGGACATAGCTATTTATATGCAGAGATTGTTTGATGGATAGCTGATTACATGCACTTAACCACTATGTCAATATGTATGTAAAGATAGAAAATATGAAGATTATTTTTTTAAAAAAAAAAAAAAGAAAAAAGAAGTCAGTAAGCTAAATTCTTGGAAATGTACGGTTGACATGTATTCACTACCCCATCTTGTTCTCCTCGTTCTCCAGAGACCATGAAGGTTGCTGGAGTTCTGTGATTGGGTGGCGAGGGGGAGGACACATGACAGGCAACAGAAATAGCAATGAATGTTATCTCTATTCTACTGTATGAACATACATGTGACGTCAAAAACTTTGACACACAAGGGTGGAAAGTACAGCAGCATGCTCTCTGCTGATTAAAACTGAAATTTTTGTAAGAGGAATGCATGACCGGCATGTCTTAAAGAATTCTGATTACTGATGAATAACCTGGCTTTGGCAAGGATATTTGTGGGGTTAAATGTCACATGATGTTTGTAATAGTGCCAGTCTGATTATTTTTTTTTTTCCTGGAAGCCTTTTTGTATGTGTTTCTAAAAATATAACAATAAGAGATAAGTGTGTAATAGCCTTTTCTGTTTCTACATAAGAAAAAGTACAGCGCTCGTGCAGCTTTTTTTTCTGTTTGTTTTAGATTGTTTGGGAGTCTTTAAAGGAAAGCATAAGCTATGGGACCATTTAAGAACTCACACACAAGGAGGAGTTGTAGTGTGTCCTACTTGTGGAGGAATGTTCTCCAATGACACTAAGTCTTTTGATGATGCAAAGAGACAAGTTTCAGAAGATAGTAAGTGGATATGCTCTTATTTCTGTTTATATTTCTAAGAGATTTTCATTTAAGGTGCTTTGTGATAATGTGCATGTGTAATTTCATAAATATTTCTGGTTTTCATATAAGTCACTTGCAGGAAAGCAGGATTTACTCCAAGAACGCAGTTGTTTTCATAAAGCATGGAAGTTCTCTTGACTTTGCATGTTTGATCAATTAAGGTAATGCAAGTGAGCAACAGATCTGTGTTTCAGCAGAAAAGCTATTAGCTTGGCAGCCTCTCATCTCACTGCCTCTCATCCCTTGGTGCCCATGGCACGGTGTGCCATTCCACTGATACTGGGAAACTGCCCATGAATGGCAAAGACTTTTGATTATCGAAGAGAGAACCTCCACAAAATCCAGGCTTGGATTACAAAATCTCTGCAAGTAATCCCAATGAGTGTTTAACTACTTTCAGGGCAAAAGGCAATTTTTTTTTCTCTTCAGCTTTGCATTTCCAGTACATATTTTCTTCACCAGAACACTCCCTGCCTCAGCCAACCATGTATTAGTTGGCATTGATTTCCTGCATGCTAAAGAGAAAAAGAGAAGCAGTTGGGTTTTTTTCTGTTTTTAAGTGCTTGCAATATATTTAGGAATTGTGGATGTTTTGGTGATGGAAAGTAGGTGCGTTCTAGATAATTGACAGAAGAGCTCAAATATTAAACAGTGTTTTGAACAGATTGGTATTCTGTTTGGGGTAAAATTAAGTTACTGATAAACAGTCCTTTTCATTAACCTAAACTAAATTTTCTTCTGAAGAGTATCGCTAATGAAAAACAGTACTGAAACTCTCTCAATACTGCATTAGTTTATTCATGAAACTAGCAGCTATAGGTTATTAATTAATAAATCATTCATAAGTTATTTGTATTGCCACTAAATAATTTCTATTTAAATTCGGACCAAATATTTGTTTGCCAGACCTGTCAGAAACATTTTGCCAATGAGAGGCTGCTACGAGATCACATAAAGGGACATGGTAAGTCAGAGCTTTTGAAAATGAAACATACTTTTCTCAAGGTTACCTTGTACAGAACAGGTTTGATAAACTACAGAGTTGTTATAAGTAAAATTATAACTGAAAGAGGGGAGATTTAGATTAGATATCAGGATGAAATTCTTTCCTGTGAGGGTGGTGAGACACTGGAACAGGTTGCCCAGAGAAGCTGGGCCATGCCCCATCCCTGGAGGTGTTCAAGGCCAGGCTGGATGGGGCTTTGAGCAACCTGCTCTAGTGGGAGGTGTCCCTGCCCAGGGCAGGGGGGTTGCAACTCGATGATCTTTAAGGTCCCTTCCAACCCAAACCATTCTGATTCTATGATCATTTTATCAGCTAAGAAAATTAATATACAGAACTAGGGCAACTGCGTTACAAATGCCGGAAAGTAGGAATTTCACTGCCAGGGCCTCTGAAGTGTGGCAATTCCCATCTTCCTGCCTTCTGACCAGAAAGTTGAAGGTGCTTTTCTGTTTTGCTGTAGCTCCGGTGAGGATGTTTATTCTTCACTTGCTTCTCTGTTTACTTGCTTTCTGGACTAGGGGCATGGTTAAAGCCGAAGCTTGGGCTGCAACTCTGCTCACCTTGCAGTGCATAATCAGCCTCACTCAAATGGTGTAGCTCTTTGTTGACCTAACCACAATCTCCCTGAGGTCCCCAGATTGTTCCCACAAGTTATACTCCAACAGCTATGACTTGCTGGGAAAGAATCCTACAGCATCTAAGCACAAGGAAACATGTGATATTGCTGTTGGACATACAGGAAATGCAGAAGCCGAGAGGCGGGTGGGTCTCCTCTTTGGGAACAGGAATATTTGAACCGTGTAGCCAGACCTAGGCACCAGTCATTTAGGTTGTATAATCACACAAGTAGCTTTGTGCAGACTTGCTCAGTCAGGGTAGATTCTACTTTCTAGTTGCATTCTTAAGGAAACATGATTTTTCACTGTTTGCAAGTCAACACATTGATGCTTAACAACTATGCATTTGATTTGGTGCTTAATGTGAGCTACCTGGACTGACCGTGTTCGTGTTTAAATGGTTTTATAGCTGACATGCATCTGACTAAAATATCTCAATTTTTATATTTTATAATAGAAAATAGATAATTACTTTTGTTTTGTTTACTAGATTAGTTTTATTCATTTGTCTCAAGGTGATTTTGGATAGAAATTGGAAATAAATACAAATTAATATTTTTTTGGTTTTGTTTTTATTAGCTAATGAAGCAACTTAAACATGCTGTTGATTTTGGATTCAGGCTTTTTTGGTTTGTTCTGTTTTTAATTAAAGCATAACAAAATAAGATAGATTTGATATATTAAATAAAGCACAGTTTTGGGTTCGGGCTTTTTTGGTTTGTTCTTTTTTTAATTAAAGCATAACATATCTTTTTAATTAAAGATAGATTTGATATATTAAATAAAGCACATAGCTCTTTTTTTCTGGTCACTCTGTCTGCACCTTTGTGAAGTGTACAATGTGCCTGGCTGTCCTTGTCCCCTGATAATTCAGGCTGCATTCTGCTTGCACAGCCAGGGAAAATCAGAAGGTGGCTGGACCTACAAACATGAATGGTGTGACCTGTGTCATGTCCCAGTAAGCCATGGCAAACCAGCTGCAATGTGAACTTGGCTGAGGGAGCTGGGAAGCATTCATGGGTCCAGATGTGTGGGCACAACCTAAATCCCTTCAGAGACAGTTACTTCCCTGGCCCATGATTCAGCTTTCTTTAAAACTTCTGGCAGCATGCATGTCTGCGTGTTAGTGCAGACTGCCAGTGTAGACGTGACATTTTCAGATTCTTACCCCAGCATATTTCATAATAGCTCGCTGGTATAGATAAATATTGAAATTTTATTTTAAAGAGCTTGCCTAGGTATAAGAAATTATTTTGAAATAAGCTGTGATGTGAATGCAAATGCTGTACGTACTCTGAAATCACTCCCTACGTGGACATATTTATATGCCAGACAACTACGTAAACTGTTTGATTTTCTTATTTCAAGTAAAAGCTGATCTTTACTGATGCAGTTTCGCAGATTAAATTATTCCAGACTAATTTTCCACATGAAGCCATCTATTTTGAGGAAGAAAAAAAAATAAATTTCATGGTTTAAGACAAACTATAAGGAAAAGTGCCTATGCAGAGAGTGATTCCAGTATAGTTACAGTGCATTATATTTACTTCCTTTTTTGAGAAAACACGAGCCCTTCAACTGCATGGTTTTCTTTGGCCACCTGTAAAGCACTGGGGTGATTATAAGATAATGCGTTGTTTCAAAAGTCCTAATTGTAACAGATTCTGTCTAAATCCCAAGCTTCTTTATTGAGAATCTTCCTAGTGCACTCATTAGATTGCTGATTCATAGGCAGCCAAGGAAGCATTTGTTCAACTTAATACGTACGGTCCTGCCTGCCAATCTGCCAGAGGTTCTCCCCAGTGCCAGAGTCAACGGAGGAAGCCTGTGTCTCAGCCACTGCAGTTCACAGTCTGGCATCTTAGCAAGAACCTAGCATTATTATGCCTTAAGCAAATATATCCAAATGTGAAATGGGGAGGCGGAGGACAGACACATATTCTTTCTGCCACCTTTTTAAGAGCGGTAATACCTTAAACACTAAAAGTAGCTTTGCCAGTGCTTGTCTGTCAGAAGGCCTCCAGACAACATCCACCTTTTAAAAGAAATCCTCCCAAAGTGCCAAAGGCAAGAGTATAATAATCCTTTTTGTTAGAGCCTAGAGAGTGAAACATGATCCTCTACACCTTTTTCCCTTACCTTCTATTTTTTGAAAGTAACTTGAAACATTGTAAGGTTGACCATTATTTCACTACTTTCTTTTTTGTATCTGCATTTCATTTTTATATCTTTTTTTTTCTCCGTATATTTTATTCCCAAATGTATTATAAGCTGTTAATTTTAATATGACATTTTAATATTTTTTTTTGTCATATGTTATAGCAGACAATGTCCTGGTGAAGCTGAGATACAGAACTGAAAGTATCTTTTTTTCTACTGTCCTTTCTAGTTAATCGTGTTACATGTACCCTTTGTGATATGGTGTGGGCAAGTGCCTCCTCACTGAAAGCGCACATTAGGTTTCGACACTGTGATGAACGTCCTTCCCCTTGTCACCTCTGTGACAGAAGGTAAGAAAATGTGAGGCTCATAGCTACGTGAGCAGAACTATAGAACCAAGTTAGTGTTTTATGTAGGAGTTTGTAAGGAAAGAAAAGTTTTCAACCACAAGAATAATCAACTGTTCAATGAAGAAATAGAATAGATTCATCTGCTGTTCAGCTGCCTTTAGCTGCTGAGACGTTGTATGAATGTCTGGTGCAAGTAGGACTGATGTATTAAAAAGTGAATTCTCTTGGCAAGACTGTGCCACAAAATGGTCATCACAACAAGTTGAGATGTTTAGCAACTGCTTCAAACTGTGGGTTTTGCCATTCTAAATGATTGCTGGCTGTTTGCTGGGAAAGTCACGGTGTTCTCCTTTGAGTGATTTTTCTGCCACTATACCTTCTGCTGTCTTGCATTCTCATTTTTCTGGGGTGGTTTCTTTTCTGCTTTCACCATATGGTGCCACACAGCAGTGAAACAATAATAAAAAAAGTGGCGTTGTGATGCGATGGACCAAGTTGCATATATAAGCACTGGCAAATTTTGTTAACTTTGCCAGAGAAGATGAGAGGTCTAGTCTTTGTATGTTGGAAGTGGGATAAAGTGAAAAAATGTTTAAGTACTTTTGTGTTCACACTGTGGGTGGACAGAGGAAATAATCTGAATTCCTAGACCAGAGAGAATGAAGCGACTGATCGATAATGGAATTTTCTCTATGTGAACAGAAAGAAAGAGCGATGCCTTGCAACATGGTTGTGGAAAAATTAGCTAGATCTAGGCATGGTGTGGATGTGTGGGAAGAAAGAGGGAATGGAAAATGAAATCCAGAGCACATCAAAGAGATGTCTGTACTATCCCCTTTTCAGAAGTGGAAAAAATGAGGTAGAGAAGCGATTTACACATATTCCGCTTTCACTTGTCATTCTCAGAGCCAAAAATTACTACCTCCCAGTCTTAAACATTAACCACAAGACTACTTCTCTGTACTATTGTATCTGTTATTTGTTTTACCTTGTTTTCAGTTTTAAGAACACGTATGATCTGCATAAACATGTTGAAACACACAATGATTCAGATGCCTACAGCTGTGATGTTGAAGGATGTGGTTTTACTTCACGGACTTTATGAACTTTGAGACAGCATTATAAGAGAGCACATGTGGTGAGTATATTAAATAGCAGAATAAAATATATTGCTATAAATGAGACTAAAGTTTCAAATTTATGCCTATTTTGTTTCTCGTGAATTAATGAGATGTTTCAATTTTGCATCAAATCAAGAATTTATTTGTACACATTTCTAGGACTCCTGCAAGTATTATGCAAATACCTGACTCATCCTTACCTATAGATTTTTTTGTGCTTACCTGAGGTGTGTGCAGTTGCATACTGACAGTCTTGAACTCTGGCCAACCCCCTCCCCACTTTAAAAAAAAAAAAAAAAAAAAAAAGAACATGCTGATCTTAATCTCAGCTGCAAAATATCTCAGGGATTAAAATCCAATGTCACCTTTCTCCTCGTGTTGGTATTCCATCCTCAGAAGTAATTCGTAACCTGAAAATAGAGAAATTATAAAGCGTGTAAAGTTTACATCACTTTTAACCAAGTCACTCTGGCCACATTAAAATACAGTTTTGGCTGCTGTAGTTTATGCATGCTTGTTGCCTGTTTCTTCATCTTTCTAAGTTAGGATCACTATTATGTTGTAAAATGAATATATTTTAGTAGAAGTTATGTGTCACGCTACTACTGGAGATATTCTGCAGTACTGATGGCCAATGCAGAGAATTTCCATGTTCACTGGAATCAGACAAGTTAATCAAACAAGTTCTGAAAATCACAAATTTTAAACATTTTAGGAAGTTAACTTCAAAAATGTTTTCAGCTAGTTAGTGTCGTTTTCCCCTTTTCAACAAAGTATTATTTTTTGTCATATATATGTGCAAGCCTCCAATGACTTTAACAGTCTTTCTTTCCAAGAGTAATGGCATTCTGAAATACAAATGCCACACCTGTCAGAAGTGTTTCTCCTGGAGTTATGTAAATTACCCTACATCTTTAAAAAGCTCATAAACTCAGGAGTCAGTCTTGTTTCAGGTATGTTACCAGTTGATTCTTATTCAAATCATAAAGTATTTTTTTTAAAACGTTTTATTTAAGAGTTTTAATTAAATGCTATCTTAAGTTTGGTTCAGTTTTAAACAGCTGAGTGTGAAACAATTTACTACTTAGGTTTCTTTGTTGTGTTGGAAAACCTAGTGCAAAAATGGTTAAACCAAAGGAAAAACAAGGGTCTTTTTGCTATTATAGCTTTTTCTGATGTGAAATTCTTGTAACCTAGACTGTTGAAAGGAATTTTTGGAGCCTGCAAATTGTATCCACCAAAGAGAGTACATAAATATATCAAGAGCTTCTGTAGCATAAACAAGCATCTTGGGACAAGAAAATTCAGCAAATAAAATATAAATATGAATAGGTGTCTCTTATTTTCCGTTACGTGATGTGTATTAGATAAAAACTGCTTATTGGAACTCCCTTGCAGGTACTTCTTCACATACAATGTCTTTTTTTTTTAAGTGTCACCTAATAAATAGCAATCTAATTCATCTTTTAATTGCTGACATTCTCAGTTTCAGCAATCTAATTAGATGTTATTCTTATTTTCTGCTATAAATGCTATGTTTGTAATTCAGTGTTTTCAGTTTCACTCCCTTAGATATAAAGAAGATGATGAGGGTCATATGAGTTTGAATTTAGCAGTATATGATGCTGTCACGGGTTTAGGCCAGGCTCACAACAACAAGATGGTGACAAATCTTCACAAAGTCAAAATAGTTTTGGAAGAGAAGGAGGGAACTCTTGCGAAAGAGACACTTCAACAGCAGAAGCACTTTTCACACAGCTTCAACCATGGTCACAAGCTATTGGAGAAAATTCTGATAGAAACAGACTTCTGTGCCAGAGCCTGTGTATTCGAAAATATTCTGATAGGAACAGACTTCTGTGCCAGAGCCTGTGTATTCTGAGCTTCAAACTGCTGTACAGCTGTTTGAAAACTGTTGTACTTCCTCTAAAGTTGATGAAGCAGCACCAATGAATGTGAAGGAAAAGCTATTAGGAATGGAACTGGGGTGGGAATACAGGCAGCTTTCTAGAAAACCTGTGAAAAGTATACTCTTCAGAAGAGGTTTACTTTTTTAAACAAAATGCATTTTAAAGTCTTGACTTTTATCCTTGTCAAATCTTGTGTATAATACTGTATTTCCTCAGCTTTCATTTTAAATTTTTTCTAATTTTCTTAGAGAATACATGCAAGATGCACATATAATACTTTCTTTGATAGCTTCTTGGGGAAGAAACTTGTATTCATATAGCTTATATATGTGTGCATGTGTATTTATTTATTTATTTAAGGGAATACAGGCAGCTTTCTAGAAAACCTGTGAAAAGTATACTCTTCAGAAGAGGTTTACTTTTTTAAACAAAATGCATTTTAAAGTCTTGTGGGAATTCAGGCAGCTTTCTAGAAAACCCGTGAAAAGTATACTCTTCAGAAAAGGTTTATTTTTTTAAACAAAATGCATTTTAAAGTCTTGACTTTTATCCTTGTCAAATCTTGTGTATAATACTGTATTTCCTCAGCTTTCATTTTAAATTTTTTCTAATTTTCTTAGAGAATACATGCAAGATGCACATATAATACTTTCTTTGATAGCTTCTTGGGGAAGAAACTTGTATTCATATAGCTTATATATGTGTGCATGTGTATTTATTTATTTATTTTAAAAAAATTAGCCCGTGGGGAAAGTGTTGAGCCAATACATGAGACAAACAGTTTGAATTGGTAGGTAAAACATCCCATTTTTTATTAAAAAAAAAATAGCCCAGGGGAAAATGTTGAGCCAATACATGAGACAAACAGTTTGAATTGGTAGGTAAAACATCCCATTTTTTATTACTCCATTATGTTGTTTGTTATATAAAGCTTTTTAGCTTTATATAGTGACTTTAAAATTATTTCAAGAGTTACTTTCAGAGAGAGACTTTGTTACTATAACGGACTTCTAGGCTACAGTGTATTGTTAAATGAATACATTTAAATAAAAAAGAACCTTATATCTAAATAAAACAGTTAAGGTGTTCATGGGGCTGACTTTCAGATTTATGTATCATTTGGTATAATGGCAATGTTATAGTTATTTGTTGGGTGCTGCAGGTACAATGATGAGAAAGCAAATGAATGATATCGGCAGCACAGCTAACTGTGCCTAACTGTATTTTCATAAATAATTCCACATAGCCAGAGCTATTCTGACCTGTTCTGAAAGATGCTTGGCAAAGGTATTTATTTGATTCTTATATAAAGGGCATAGACAAAAAGACAGGTATCTTTCATCACAGTAAAGATTAATTACAACGTTTGAAACACTTTTTTAAAACAAGAACTGAATGAACCCGTCAACTGAAATATGTAAGATTTATACACAGGAGAAGGCAGTATGGATTTAGCTAGAAGACTGACTTACCTTGGGCTAGCTACTACTGGCCAGCATCCCTTGAGGACCCAGAGGCATTCTCTGAGAAGGGCTTGCTGTCCCACTTTGAAGGCAACTTTCAGTGCTTACGCAGAGCAGTGTTGCATCACCCCCACTTACTGACTGTTCATTTCTTTATGTAGACAAACTGACACTGAGAGCCCAGGACAAACAATCAACCTGCACACGGGTGGGTCCCCAGCCAACCAGAATGGAGTATCAGACTGGGAATAAATTGTCTGAACAATAATCGTCTGTCTGAAGTTGAAGGGAGCTTGCCATGTAAACCCAAGGATTCTGGGGCACTTCTGTTTGGGAGGATTTACACTGTGCATCTCCTGTAGAAAACTGTCTCCTCTGAACTGGCCCTTCATCACCTAACTGCCGACGGTTGTTGCAGGTGAGGACCACGATGCCGTGTCAGGCCAGCGTGTGGGGCTGGGGGCACGAAGGACTCCTTCTCTCTCATCCTTGGGGCTGGAAGAGCACAGTGCTCTGCCCAGAGCTCGCTGGTGAGGAGGTGGTATCAGCATAGGATCTGGTACACTCTTACATGAACTGTTCCTTCTGCCTCCTACATTTGCTGTCGCAAGGAGTGTGGGGAGAGAGAGCCAAGGGAAGGGTCTGTGCCATTGGGCTACCATTGCATTATGAATGGGAGTGGGGCTTGCTGGAGGGAGCCCTAAGTGATGTCTCCAACTCTGCACCTGTGCTCAGACAGCGGTGCTCACGGCTGCTTTGGCCCAACAACCTACACCAACCTAAACCTACAACGTTTAGCAATCTCAGCCAGAGAGAGACAAGGAAATCAAGGCCCCTGTCACAAATATCAGCAGATTAAAAGTGACGGCTGTAAAAGTCTCCTTCCGAAGCTGTCCACCTTGTTCCTGCCTTGAAAGTTCCTGCTTTGCAGGCAGCTGAGATCTTTGTGCTCAGGTTTTAGTATTATTAAATACGCAGGGGCTGTAATTTGTGGCAATTCAGCTGCTGTTTCAAGAGCAGTTGAGCCATCTGTGCAGTGGGGGCAGGCCAGACAGATGTGGGTGGCAGCCTGATTTTAATCTGCCTTTGTGCATGAATCAGAGACCCAGCATTTTTAATACTGTACAATACAGGTAAAACTGACTCACGTTTCTCTGGGCAATGAATAGGTACCACTATAGCCTCTGGGATTTCCCCTGCTAAATATCAAAGGGCTGCAACAAACAACAGAGGTGTTAATGCTGCCCAAAGAAAGAGTCCTTTATAATGGAAAGTATTAGTCAACCAGAATACAGAGGAGTCTTTTCCAAATCTTTTAGAATAGTTTACCAGAAGCCTCTAATCCAATATCCAACCATTTAGTCCTTTGGGCAGGTCCCCATGCCTGCCTGATTGGGGGGTTGCTGACCTCATGCAAGCTTCCTTGCAGGTCCCAAGGTTAATTTACACAAAGCCCGTTCAGGGCTTCGCACGACAAGTTTAAACACGGCATTAGAGGTTTGTACTTGAGCTGTGGAACCACACTTGCAGGGCAAGGCTATGACCTGCAAGTTCTAAATTGCCACAACTTCATGTGAGCCTATTAAATACATTTTGGAAGACAAAATCAACTGTGGGGCCAGACACAATGGGATGATAATTTATTAATGGAGACCTATTTTTGAAAATCATATTTTAAAATCATTTCCCTCAGTTACGCTGCTTAATGACGCTCTAGAGTTTTATTCCACTATTGCTTAGATACCCATTCCACTTAATTAGTCTTCACAGTGTTTGCACTCGCACAAGGGCTTTGCAAAGTTAAAAAGCCACGTCTGTTTTCTTGTCAGAAATATAGTTTAGAATTTACATTCATATGTTAGTGTACAGAGGCTTTAACACTCATGTATGTACTAGGCAATACTAGTTAGTGATAATAGATTTCAAAGTTGGCTTTTTTTCAGATTTTTTTTTTTTAAATTGTATGTTAAGATTTAAGTGTTAATTAGCACTCCACGATGCTGGTTTGCACAGACAAATCGAAATAAAATATCCACCTGAGCGAAAGCCCTTTGGTAAAAAGAGGCTTTTTTCCTGACTGACACCAAATTATACATTTTTCATGCTAGTTACTTGTACTAAAATAACTTGATGTAAGTCTATTCGCTCTTGAAAACGAGTTTGTTGGTTTTTGTTGGGTTTTTTTTTTTGTTTCTGCTTAATTTCCAAGGTGATTCTGGAGGAGTGCTCTCCCATAGAAGTGCCTACAGATGGTGCCCGTGGACTGAATGCACCGACTCACCCTGCGGGCGTGTGGCACGACATGGTGCGACATGGGGTACGTGCTGAGGAAACCTCTGGGTTGAATACGCGCTCTCTCCTCAGCGCCTCCTAGAAGAAGGAAGCCCTGGGAGAAACAAGACGTTATTCGCTGGGATGTGTGGGACCCAGCTTGACAAACAACTTCTTCCCGTGCGCAGCAGGTATGAGGTGGACGTGAGTCATGAGGGACTTGTTCTCATGGAGCCAGATGATCAGATAAAGCAAACTGGCGCAGGTCCACCGGAGTCTGTA